TTCTTCTTCTTCTTCTTCTTCTTCTTCTTCTTCTTCTTCTTCTTCTTTTAAGAACTAAAATAGAAATAAATGTGTTAGAACTTTGAGGTCAGCCTTGATCAGGAAGGAGGGCACTTCCTGGTCTCTAATCAGATGTCTACAGAGGTTTATTTAGTTGAGCTAGAGCATTGGGTATAATGTAATATGCTGTGAGAGGAACATAGAACTAGGGGTCTGGAGACCCAATTTCTTATCTTTGCTCAGCTGCTAATTAGGTATCTGAAGCTTTCTGAGCTTTGGTAATTCTAACTCCTTCTATCTGAGATCATTTAGGAAAACCCCTATTATAAATGCAAGATCTTATATTATGAGACAAGCTGGAAAATAGAGCATCTCAGGCTCCCTTCTGCACAAACACATTAATCTACTTGTGAAGAACCCTAAAGAAGGAAAAGACTCAGTAGCTGCCCTGGTAAACTTATTATAGGCTTAGTGAAACTCACCATTGGGAGTTCCTTATTATATTAGTGATAACATATCAGAACAGAGACTTTTTATTCATGAGAATTCCCTAGGGGAAAACAACTACATTTGTTGGGAAAAGCACTCAGAATGAAAGGCTGGACCGAGTGGGCGTAAATTTGAGTTTCACTGTTCCGTACTGCTTAAGGGAACAGATTTTCTTGCCACTTTTCAGGGGGAGGAAAATAGCAAAAGGGAGAGAGGGGGGTGGGGCTAGTGTGATGGCAAGAGTGCTACACAGTCTGCAGGGTGACTCTTCCCTGTGACCCTCAAAGACTCAATTTTCTCAAAAATTCATAAATGCTGGGGTCTGTGTGTGTGGAGATGGGGAGAAGTGGTCACAGAAGTTGTGAAGGGACCCCATGTGGCACTCATGTTAATTCTGAGTGGTATCAAACTTGGGTATAGGAATGAGGAGGTAGAGGAAAAAAAGAGAAAGCCAGGCTTGCGGACTGGCAGGAATGTAATGACAGCTCTTGCTTTCCAGTCTATGGGATTGTACTTCAGATCAAAGTCAAGATCTGAAAAAAAGTATTCATAACTTAAACACACCGGCTAACACCCATGACTCGTGCACTTTCCACACTCCAGGCAGTGTGCCAAATGCTTTATGTGAATATTATATTTCATATATATACACACCTACATGCAAAGAGTACTCCTTTTAATCTTTACACTGGGCCTATAAAGGGGGTATTATTATCTCAGCTTCACATTTAGAGAAATTAAGACTCAGAGAGATTACATAAATTGTTCAAGGACATAAAGCTTTAAGTTTCATGTGGATTCCAAATATATTGGAAATCAATTTATTAATTACTAATATAAAAATGTATCAAGCATTACATCTACTAAACATCAGAGGATGTGCAAAGATGATTCTAAAGTGAATCTTGCCTCAGCGCATTTATTTTGTCATCTAATAGGAGCTATAGGATGAGGGCAGAGCCACGTTATCAAGACTCTAAGGCATGAGGCTTCTGAGAGGTTTAAGTGCTGTCAATTTCAGGGGAATCAAAAGCTCTAATTCTCCCCACCGCCTGGTGTAGTCTGCGTCCTTTTCTCTTGTGGTGCCGGAGATTAGCTAACATATTCTGGATGTAGCCCGGCGTCGGATGTTCTCTTGTCCAGCGCCATCAATCATGACAAGGAATCCACCTCTTCATTAGTTCGAGTACTTTTGGCAGCCTCTACTGAAAATCCTAGAGATCATGAGCTTCGGTCACCTCAGGAAGCACACTGCATTTCATCCGGCACATTCCCCATCCAACATTTTTCTTCTTCAAGCTCCCTCCCCAGATTCCTGTCTTTCCTCTCATCTACCACATTCTTTCTCCTTATGACTCCCTCTTTTGGCTACCACCTCAGCACATTCTTTTCCCAATCTTGCCCTGAAGAGATTTAAGAAAATATTCTCCCAGCAAAGCAGATCTGGCTAAGGGAGGGATTTTTTTTTTTTTCAAGTAAAACAAATTCTTCATGTAGAAATTTCTTCCATGAATACATAGACGTGCTCAAGCCTTCCATTTCTCAGTTGTCCCATCTTCCTAGGCTGCCTGACGATCTCTCTCTCCAATCCTCTAACTTGACCTCAAGTCTCTTGACATTTGACTGCTCATTAGCTCACCGTTTTCCCTAAAGATTGGATAGGGGCCCATGGATGGTACGGGAAACTCAAATCAGCTAAATGTTTCATGTACAACTTTTATAAAAGATTTGGGGGTGAGAAACTACAGTGGCAATTAGAGGTTGTCATTTATTTGATTTTCCCTATTTCATCAATTCTCAAGTTCACTTTCCAGAGGAAAAGGAGACACTTTCTTAATACATTGGTGTAATATTATAAAAACAATTTTGTGTGCTGGAGCTGTACTAAAGTCACAGAGACTGTGAATCCCAGCTCCACCAATTCACAGTTTTCTGATCCAGGCAAAATCATACTTAACTCCTCTGAATCTCAGTTTTCTCATCTGCAAATTGGCATGATAAAACTTTAGATACTTCATAAAGTTATTATAGTCAAATAAGATAAACTATGTACCTAGAACACAGTAGGTGCTTAATAAATGGAGGCAATTGATTACACTAGGAATCTCAAACTAAGGAAAGCAAGTCTTGCAAAAACATAAAAATTCTCTACTTTCTACATTCTCTTTGACTTCTAATATTAGAAGGTGGTGCATGAGTTGGCTGTCCATTGCTATAACCCAGTTACAACTCCATAGATATATAATAGGAGTGTTTACAATTGAATTACAAACTCTGCCAACTTAGAGAAGCCTAGGATTGGCATTCATAGTTGGAAACAAACAAACAAACAAACAAACAAATCCCACCCCTGGCTCTCAGTTTCACAGCTCTGCAATTCATTTCCTGAGAAGCTTTCCAACTATGTGATTTTCCATAGCTTCAGGCTTTGTTATTAGTGAAGGGCCCTGTTGGGCTTATCACCAGTTCTAGCAGCTGCTGGCACAGGTGATAAACTCTGTTAGTTAGGGCTGGGGACAGAATGTAGGTGGGGGCTTTCCAGTTCCAGGGGAGAAGATTATAAGATGCTTTGTATAAGAGCTCTGGGAGGAAGTAATAGGGGTCCACAAAGAAAGTGTGCTGACAAACTAGAGTAATGATTGAATTTAATACAAATGGCCGTATAACGTGAAGCTACACATTCATCTTTCTGTTTTACATGGGAGATTACAAGGCAAAACCCCATGGCCCAATTTGTCTAGCTTGTATTGCCTTGAGATACCTGGTATCTTATATGAAAAGCCTAAGAAAAAGGGATCAAGGAATAAGTAATTGTTGTCATTTATTGAGCAACTATTACGTTCCTCCTAAATTATGTAAAGTAGATGTTCTTAATGAGGGTTATGAGGGTTAGTGATATTAAAGGATTAATCAGCAACTAAGAAGTTATTTCTAAGAATCCATCACTTCAACAATTTCCTCCCATCTAAAAATATACATTAAGAATTGTGTTGGGGCACCTGGGTGGCGCAGTCGGTTAAGCGTCCGACTTCAGCCAGGTCACCATCTCGCGGTCCATGAGTTCGAGCCCCGCGTCAGGCTCTGGGCTGATGGCTCAGAGCCTGGAGCCTGTTTCCGATTCTGTGTCTCCCTCTCTCTCTGCCCCTCCCCCATTCATGCTCTGTCTCTCTCTGTCCCAAAAATAAATAAATGTTGAAAAAAAAAAAAAAAGAATTGTGTAGCGATGTCAGGTGCCTTTGTTTTGTCCTAATCATTTCAGTGACTTAATGTTTAATGTTGCTTGACTTCAGAAGAAACCGGCTGGAAAGGCATGTACACAGCTTCTAAAAGTCCTTTCCTGAAAAGGGATTTTTTTTTTTAATTTTACAAAACCCAATATCTCTTAAAAGCACAAGGACAATACTAATGAAATGCATTCAGTCCCAGAATACAGGGAAGTCTTAAACAGATTCAAGAAGAAGATAACACCATCCATACAAAATGCAATTCTGATCCTTTCTAGATTTTAGCTTCCTTTAGGGTGTGAAATCTTGTCTTTATATACTTCAAAGCACTTATCACGGT